TGTATATTCCTTTAAATATACAAAAACAAATCCTTTAAAGGATTTCTTTTCGTCAAACATTTCTTCAGAATAATACTATGGTACCATAAATAAACAAAATGAAATAAATTCACTCAGCGAAACCTAAGTATATAGAGGAGAGTTGAATGTGAAAGCATTACTATAAATAAAATTTATTACTAAAATCCCTTTGTTATTCTTTCCTCGTTTTAGTAATAAATTTCAATTTTAATCGCATATGATTGGCTTTCGCTGTGCGAATTTGCTTCATTCTGTTTATACAAGCTTAAAACTTAAATGTATATATATATATGTTGTTAAGTATGTATTGATTGTTGTAACGAGAAGTCATGAATCGCCAGTGTTTGATACCTAAAACTTTGTTTCATGAATAGCAAATTCTATTCAGAACTGTCACATTTTTGGCCATTTTGAAATCTGAAACTTTCGCTAAACGCGGATTTGTTTAGGATTTCTCCATAACAACTGTGCTTGCAATGTGAGCCATTTGTACCAAACCAAATATCGCTTTCCTGACGAGCTACTCATGCCTGTTCCATACATGCATTGCCAAACCCGAGGGTCATCAAAAATTCATCATACGATCATGTTCTTTTAGCAAACGAAAAAGCGGTATTGACAGACTGTCAAGTTCGTTTAGCTACAATTCAGTGTAGAATGGTAAGTTTACTCGTCAGCATTCTTTGCGTTTCTTTGCTTAAAAGGGAGCACAGATAGCATCTCGTTGAAAATATGATCACTATTTCGTCAGTATCCGTTAAAACAAAAAAGTGATTTAATAATTACAACCTATCATAAAATCTTCTTGAGAGATGGTCACCTAGTTTTAATTTTGTGGGAAACGAGATTTATATAAACGAGTAGGAGTATTTTACCTACAGAAATTATTGTTTTTGTCTCAATAATTGTTTCTATATATATAGAAATTTGAAATATTACATTTTTATTTTTTGAGAGCTCTAAAAAACGACGCTAAAATTATTGGCACTTGCAGACGAACTGAAGAATATAATCCATAAAAAATTTGAAGAATCTAATACCTATAAACATATAAAGGATTCCGTTTTTACAAATAATTGAAGAATACAATGGCTACAAAGATTAAGGATCCAATCATTACGTAAAATTGAAGAATCGCATCCCTACAAAGAAATGGAACAATCCAATCCCTAGAAAAAAAAATAAAGAATCCAATTGGGTAAAAACTTATGGAATGCTATCATTAAAATATTATAGATTCTAATAATTACAAAACATTGAAGAATCCAATCAATAGAAAAAATTGATGAATACAATTTCTAGAAAAAAACTGAAGAATTCAATACTTACAAGAAATTGAGGAATCCGATCCTGCCGGAAATTATAGAATTCAATCCCTATAAAAAGTTAAAGACTTTAATATCTACCAAAAATTAAAGAAAACCATTCCTACACAAATATGAAGAATCCAAGCTGAACAAAAATTGAAGATGCTAATGGCTACAAAAAACTTAAAGAATCTAATCACTACAAAAATTATTGAATCGAATCCTTACAAGAAACTGAATAAATTAATTCTTAAAGATTTGAAGTATCTAGTGGTAAGAAAATTTAAGAATATGATCCTACAAAAAATTGCAGAAAACCATTGAATTATCCAGTCGCTAAAAAAAAAGAAAAATATAATACCTAGGATCTCATAATCTCAATCGTCTGGATTATATACGAAAACATAATTAACAATAAAAAATTCCAGCAACCTTCTTTCATGATTATGGCTATTCGCAGCAATGCAACACATTTAGACCAATGAAGTTCTAAAGGACGAAACGCGTTACACGAAACATTTTCCCATTCTTATTATACATTCCCACAATATATATATATATATATATATATATATATATATATATAGGTTGTAATCTGTTGGTATCATCCAAGCGAGTCCTGTTTACACGTAGAATTCGAAATATTGAATATTAAATGTTAAAACTGATTCATAAAGAGCGCTCAATATTTATTTTCAATTAGACGGAGCAAAATTTTTCGTACAATTGGAATTAACATACCATTAGTTAATGACCATTTTCAACTTCGAATTTTAAATTTAAAATTCGCAGGATTTTTCAAACCGTTTATTTTTAAGCACATAAACACTGAAAAATCTTGCGAATTTCAAATTTAATGGAAATATTTCGATGAACACGATTATGAACAAAAATGACATGTAAATAGTTAATTACTCAGAGGTATGGATCGGATGCTCCTGAAGGATTGAAATAAAGTTCATATATATATATATATATATATATATATATATATATATATATATATATATAATTGATTACACCGATTACAACTTAACTAGTGTGAAGGACTTGGGAAGAAACTCATTTAGGAAGTTTTCAATTTTATCCTGCCATTACTTAGAATTAGATTGAAGAATATATATATATATATATATATATATATATATATATATATATATATATATATATATATATATATAATTTCAGGATTCTTTTCCAATATTCCAAGGTGATCTTCGCCCTCTCTAACCTTTTAAATTTCTGTCCTGGAGTAACAAGGTGCCACAGAAGTTTCACATAGTATTTCATTTCAAAGTCTTTTTTTTACTGTTCTTTGGATTGTCATAGCTAAAAATCCACGCTCACGTGCCAAACGTCTTATGGATTGAGTTTGATCTTTTCTAATGGATCTCTTTAGCTCTAAGTTGAAGTGATGATCCCTCTTCCTGTTGTGACCTCCTGATCCAGTTTTACCCTGTAACGTGCCTTTTTTCAAACTTATTCACCGTTTTCTAGTTGGTTCTTGAATAGACTTTGAAGATGGAAGCCAGCGTATGAATGTCGGTATCATTACTGAAGTCCTGAATGATCTTTTTCCTCTCATTTTTGCTCGCTTGGAAAGACAGTTGGGCTGATACAAAACGATTTTAACCTTTTCTCTTTTTAGCCGAATAACTCAAAGTGGTTCTTACGACAAATTGTGTCAAGATGGCTAAACGTCTTATCAGAAAACCTGGATAAAAAATTCAATTGGTCTAGTGTTTTTTTTAGATATTAAACATTTTTCAGGAAGAATAATTATAGACATTTTTATGTTTAACGTTGCTATTTTATAGATACAAGTATTTAAGCAAATGCTCTGTTTATGATAAACAGTATTAAATAACATTTACCGGCCTGAATGTCCGAGAAATTTTCATAGAAAATATTCGTTCTTTGACAGGATTCGAACCTGCATCCTATACGGAACAGTCATATACGCTGACGTGCCTTGACCGCTCGGCCACAAAGAAACTTACGGTAGACAAGGTCGAATTTACTGTTTATAAACATCAATCTTCCATGAATCTCGTACATTCATAACTGCTCTGGCGTATCGAATGTAAACAAATGACGTCATATGTTAAGAAATGGACAAGGTCCGACAATTTATTTATTAAAGACATTTTATGTTTAACGTTGTTATTTTATAGATACAAGTATTTAAGCAAATGCTCTGTTTATGATAAACAGTATTAAATAACATTTACCGGCCTGAATGTCCG